ATCGATTGTCATTTTCCAGCCAACTGGACGCAGTTTTTTTTCGATCATACGGTACTAGAAGGTTCTTCAACAAAAAAAATCAGTCATTAAATTTGCAAAACAATTCTACTAGAATTTATGTAGGGCTAGGGGTAGTTTTCATCCTTCTCATACTCTTTCTGTTTTTTTTTTGTGAAAGGCAAATGCTAAAGCGCCTAGCAAAACATTTGCATCCCAAATTTCATTCAATTCGGAATATATTTTTTTTTAAATATTTCAAAAAAAAATATTGATTTTTTCAAATGTAGAGGACATCTACTGGACAAATGAAACACTAATACGTAGTATGTAGTTCTATGTCCACGGAATACTGGAACATCCTGTATTTTCAGTTTTTTTTTAGAAGTAGGTGTCAAAATAATTAACTTAACAAATACAATCTATTATAACCATATCCATTGCAAATTTTATTTCAATGGCTTGCATTAACGTTAATTCTGACTGAAAACTTCAGATTTAATTTTATATTTTTAACATAATATATCTATAGTCTGTCCAATGACTTTGGTGTCTAAAAAATGACAGAAAATATAATTTGCCTGTGAATTAAAATGACAAACACAACTGTCACTGTCGGGGATCCGCCCCTTGGACAGACTATCAGCGCTTTCAGATGGAGCGGACCATGCGCGTATTTTTATATAAGTGTGTTTATGTATATGTCTGTCATCCGGACGGAGCATACGCGACCCATGTGAAATTGTTCATATGAACTCATAGTACTTGCTCGAAGTCGCGGACGCTCCGCTCCATCTGAAAGCGCTGTATATTAATTTACATTATTTCAAACCAAAATAATTTTTTTTTTGACGTTTAAATAATTTAGGCTTTAATTTTATGTTATGTTTAAGCTTCTAGGTTATACAATTGATAAGCTTTAGTATTTTTAAGCAAATTTTGTACTGTCAATTTCACTCCAACTTAGAAGAGGAGTGGAGTAAATTGATATTTATAATTTTTCAAAAATTCTGTATTACATATTCATATTTATAAACTAAAGAAGATTTTATCAAATCTAATATAATTTATTTTTGGATTTTTAGAGCATATTAAGAGAAATTTTCTTTAAATTTGTACATATATATATTTTTTACAGTATATATATATTTTTACAATACATAATATTATTTAGGTGTTTCTTCAAAAAAGTCCTATGGGTATTTCGCCATTTGGTACTGTAAGAAAATCTACAAAATAAAATAGTTATTTTTTGTAAACACTACTGCGTTAATCCAATGGAGACCAACTTGTCAGCAGTGGTTTACTAATAAACAAATTTGCCTAACGGGCAAAAAAATGGTTACCGGGAAGTATATCTCTTCTCATCGTAGGAAGCAAAAAAACAATGAACAAAGAAAAAACTATTTAAAATATCTAAATACGACTATTCAAGAACACTTTAGTTTTTTTTTTCAACAGATAACTATTGTATGTTGGATTAGCGCAGCAGTGTTTACAAAAAATAACTATTTTATTTTGTAGATTTTCTTACACTACAGGATGAGTCAACGATAGAATAAAGTCCATTTTCTCATTTGTTTCGAGGTTTACAAAAAAATGTTAAATATAAAAGTTATAGGGAAGGTTAAGATACACATTTTAAAATTATTATAGAGTATACAGGGTTCTTCAAAAAAGTGTGGCGGATATAAGATATGTTATTTTTAAATGCAACATCCTATTTTTTATTTTATTTTTAGATTCTGCGTAAAATTTCATAACTTTTTTATATATAATGTTATATATCTAAAATTAATAGTTTTTGTAATATTTAAATTTGTTTAAACAAATGTTAAATTGCAGTTTGGTAAAAAATTGTCAGTGGTATAGTCTATAAAATGAATAACTTTGAATTTTGACCGTTATTTTTTACCAATATGGCAAATATAAAATCCCTCTGTCAAAAAAGTTACTGATATTCTTTAAATTGAGTACCTGAACATATCAGATAGGTAACTCTTTTTACTTTCGTGAAATAGAAAAGGAAAATAATAAAACAAGTGACAGTTCTTCCTCTTCTTGCAAAAATCAACCCGAAATGTCATAATTGCCAAAAGTAAAATGTCATCAGCGTTTGACATTTCTAAATATCAAACCAATGCCGTCTCTAATAGAACAGCCACGGAGCGGATTTATGACGTCACGCTAATTAGATACTAAGGATTAATAAATATGTTGTAAAATACATGGAAAACATAATTATTCCTCGTATTTTTGGTTTGTATTTTAAAAATGATATAGTTTACATGAAATATATATAATATACAGTTAATAAATACAATATATATACCTCTTTATAGTAATAAATACTTTGGCAAATAAATTATAAACCATACAAATGCAGCAAATGTTTTACAATATACAAATAATGAATAGGTACGTAAGATAATGGGTAAAATGTAAAATATATTTTAAATTTTGGTGTTTGAAAATCGATCTAATTTAACAAAAAACATTCAATATCTACTAATAGTGATGTATTATTATTTGCATTCACAAAATTTATATGTATATTTTGCAAGTATCAATGTTCGAAAAATTATATTTGCAAATAATACAATATCATAGAAAAAAGGCGTCAGCGATGGCTATAAAATAAAGATCGCTGTCATTTTATATGTAAAATTATTCTAAAATTTTTGATTTTCTTGGGATTTAGGTTAGGATGGAGTACGATTTCAGCCATAGTCAATGTAGATAGTTAGTGTTAAGAATAATAATTTTAAAAAATAAACAAAATATTAAAAATAAACAAAAACAATAAATAATAATGAATTAATATTATTAAAAAAGTTATTAACTGTATATTATGTATATTTCATGTAAACTATATCAGTTTTAAAATACGAACCAAAAATACGAGGAAATTTTTTCCATGTATTCTACAACATATTTATTAATCCGTAGTATTTAACTAGCGTGACGTCATAAATCTCATTCCGGGGCTGTTCTATTAGAGACGGCATTGCGTCAGCATGGCCGCAAGTTGCTAACCTAATAAAATTAACACTAGAAAAGCGCGCGGGAACTGTCAAATTCAAAGTTATTCGTTTCACAGACTATACCATTGTTTCTGAAGTTGGAATACCAAAATTTGAAATGAGAGTTTTATAGATATGAAAAAAAAAAGATATATGGAAAGATATTTAAGTTAAATGCTACAGGGTGTTCGTTGTAAATATATTTATGAATTTCTACTACTTAAAATTAAAAAATCTCAATTTTTTTAAATGATACTCCCTATATATTTTCATTTTTTCTGATAGATTTTGCAAAGCTCTTCAACTTTTATTAAGTATGTCATATACGTATTTTTAATAGTTTGCGATTTATTCCAAGTTTTTCTATTTTTACCCATTTGTAATACAATTACATTATAATATCATAACTGTCACGACAAAAAATAATAACTTTAAAAATGTCATATGTCTGTTAAGCAAGTTAAGAACAAAACGTGAATTTTAGTTTAATTTGTTGTATTAAGTATAAATGGTAGAGGTAGAGATAATAGTTACAGATTTTCCTGAAAATGAATTAGTCAATGTGACTGATATACACGAACAAAAAAAATGAATCATAAACCAGATTACTACGAGAAACTTTACTGTATGTCGAAGAAAATTCCTATATCAGTAGTCATCAACAATTAGGTAATCTAGTTAGTATTACCCTAATCTGTGGCTATTCGCCCCGACGGAAAATCCAAGTCTCTTCTTTCATAATATAGAAATACACCAAGAAATTCACGACTACGATTTGAGTTTATTTGAGTAAAGTTAATTAATTTTGAATAATAATAACAATTGTAACTAATTATTAAACTATTGTTAAAAATAAGTAAAAAATATTTTTTTTTGTCACGGCAATTATGATGTTATAGCGTAATTGTATTAAAAATTAGGGTAAAAATAGAAAAAATTGGAATAAATCGCAAACTATTAAAAATAAGTATATGACATACATTATAAAAGTTGAAGAGCTTTGCAAAATCTATCAGAAAAAATGAAAATATATAGGGTGTACCATTTAAAAAATTCGAGATTTTTTAATTTTAAATAGTTGAAATTCATAAATATATTTTGAACATCCTGTAGCATTTAACTAAAATATCTTTACTTATATCATTTTCCTCATCTCTTTAAAACTCTCACACCAATTTTTTTGGTATTCCAACTTCAGAAACAATGGTACCACTGACAATTTTTTACGACACTGCAATTTAACATTTGTTTAAACAAATTTAAATATTACAAAAACTATTAATTTTAGGTATATAACACTATATATAAAAAAGTTATGAAATTTTACGCAGAATCTAAAAATAAAATAAAAAATAGGGTGTTGCATTTAAAAAAAACATATGTATCCGTCACACTTTTTTGAAGCACCCTGTACGCTCTATAATAATTTTGAAATGTGTATCTTAACCTTTCCTATAACTCTATCGTTGACTCACCCTGTACAAGGGGCGAAATACCCATAGGACTTTTGCAGAGATGAATCGGCCACGGAGGTATGACATTTAGGTTTTTATTCTGTTTATTGTTTATTTTTTTCTGTTTATTGTAACATAGTGAGTGCCTTATTAAATAGCTATAAAAGATAATAACATATTTTATTTACTCGTCCTTCTAAAATAATACAAAAATAAAATTACAACCTTTATAATGACAGGGTTATCAATACCTGTAAAAAAAATTACACTTATCTACATTTCATAAATAAATGTTAGGATAATTATTATTACAGAACTATAAACAAAATCAATTTCATGGAATTCAATTTATCAGAATATTATTTCGTTTAGTTAGAAATTTCAATACTTTTAGAAAACCCCTCGTATCACGAAAAAAATACCTACTAAGCTGTTGTTGAATCTCCGACGTTCCCTGCAACGGTTTTCTCTGTCTGATTCATTGGTCTAGTGCAACGCTATTCATTGGATTATGCAATATTAATTCGCAGAACCGTGAGTGAAACGTCAACGCGGTGTCGTGTATAACCTGTATTTTTGTTATTTATGCATGCTCTTTTCAACCTTTTCATGTATCGTATTACAGAAACTAAAGAAACTTAATTTATTTGGAAGTTAAAAAGATGACGACCATAATTGGCAATGATAATAATCCAGCGACGTTAAAACTGGTCATAGCAAATAATTTTGCCAGAACAAAATGCAAACTTGATCTCACCCCAAATGGTAAATATCTTTAAAATATAGCTGAAATTATAATAAATATATTTTCTAAGCTTGTTTTGTTGTTATGGCTGTGTTATTAGTTTTATCTAACATTTCTTTCAGATGGTAAAAGACAACTACCATATTTAGTTGCAAACTCTGACCGAGAATATTTCATTCCAAATGCTGCAATATGGTATTTATTGGAACCTTCAGACGAGATTTCCGAGAAAGTGACTGAATTACTCGAATTAGAGGCAATTGCTCTATCACCTTCCCTTGCATTTATTTTCGGTGGAAATAGTAAATCTGACAAAATCAAAGGTATCATAAAATCATCCCTCGATACAATTAATTTGGAGATTAAAGATAAATTATTCTTAATCGGGGTAAGCCACTGATGCGTCTTATTTACTTTTTAGTTGTAATTGTTATTATTTAATTAATTATTAATTAAAATTCGTGCTTACAGTGTTGCAATGATGCAATAGTTGATAACCTTAAGTTAGATAAAGCAAATGCTTATTGAAAACTATTGTGCACCGTTGAAACTATTTGGATCAATTGCATTTGTTTACTATCTGGTATTTCTTTTCTAGGACAGTGTTTCAATAGCTGATATTGCTATTTTTAGTACTTTATATCCCTTATATAAATCAGAGAAATTATTTAAGGAATACCTGGCAAATATGGCTAATATTGTTCAATGGATTAAGTCACTTGAAGAAAAGCCTGAGATTAAGGTACCTACATAAATATATTACTTATAAAGACAATTTTTAAAGTCAGTATTTATAATTTTAGGATGCTTTAAAAGTGATTTTTCATGACAAAGTTAACATTGGCCATGCATCATATCATACTTTGCTACAAAGTTCGAAATATGTACTACCACAAGATGATTCGATACCTAATCAAATCCAAGAAAAAGAATCACCTACACATGAAAAAGAGTCTCCAATTCATATATCTGAGGTGGTTGGCAAGGAAGAATTAGAAGCAGTGGAGAAAGCATGGAAAAAAGATATAAAAAATTTGCCAAAATTAAAGAAAATAAATAATATTGTGTAAGTAACATATTTTAACATTATATAAAAATGAACTTCATTGTTCTTCATATAATTCAATTGATTTGCAAGCATTTACTGTTCATTTAAGATTGCCAAAAGCTGGAGAAAAGAATATTTTTATTACTTCAGCATTGCCCTATGTGAACAATGTTCCTCACTTGGGCAATATTATTGGATGTGTCTTGTCGGCTGATGTGTTTGCAAGATTTTCGCGGCTGTGCAACAATAACACATTGTTCATTTGTGGTACTGATGAGTATGGTACGGCAACTGAGACGAAAGCTTTGGAGGAAGGCTTGTCGTGTCAAGCTATTTGCGACAAATACTTCAAAATTCACAAGGAGATTTATGAATGGTTTAACATCAGTTTTGATCACTTTGGAAGAACATCCAATCCAGAACAAACAGAGTGAGTATGGATATTTTCAAGTTATGTGAATTGTATAATAATATATTAACATTATTGTAAATGCAGATTTTATTTAAATGAACACCTTTTGAAAACTAAAACACTAATTTACCACAATAAACAGTTTTAGTCATCTGCTGATGATGCTAAGATGATTAGCAAAACGCGCGTCCAGTGCAACATTAAAGTGTTTTGGTGAAATTTGTGTTTTATTTTGCTGTTGTAACGCCAAAGCAAAATTTAGCCAAAGGTTCCAACCCCTAACTGTAACTTAAACCTTTTAATACAATATAAAATATATATATTATATATTTTATTTATAAAATATATAGGGTGTGTCAGAACTAAGATCCACACCAAAGTTATATGCTTTCTTATGGAACACCCGCTATTTTATTTTATTTTTGGATCCTTGGACACAAAATAAGGCATGTATTATAAGGGTCAAATATGTTTACAAGCTTTGTTTCTTGAGATACTTAAAGATATCTAAAGTATGCATGCTATGATAAAAAATATTGTCAACAACCTGTATATTACTTTTCAGAATTAAGTCTTGTGGTGATTTTTAAGCCAGTGAAATAAACTTTACTGAAAATTTTGATTGTTTTGTGTAATATGTATACAAGGGTATCAAAAATTGTTAGTCTATTTTAAATATTTATTTTATATAAAACTTTGTTACTTCAAATGCAATACTCTGTATTTTTTAAAACAAGTCGTTAGTAACAAAGTTTAAATGCTCTCTAAATCAAACTATATTATGGTTTTCTATACCTATCTAGCTCAGATTTTGAATAAAGAGGGATTTTTCAGTTCCAAGGACAGGTTTCTGCCTAGTAAGTTTTCCATAAAGCACAATACCAGCTCTGTGAAATAGGACAAGTTTTCAAAGGAAAACTTATCAGGAAAATTACTATTTGGATATCTTTGGGCATAAGCCCTTGAGGCCAACAAGCAATTTTCCTACTAAATAAAATCACTATAGTAAACGCCACGAATGTTTGGGAGTGATTCATCACTTGATGAAGTTAGAATCGACATGCGCGCTATCATTTTTACATTAAAAACGTACATTTTTACCGCAGACGTAGGTTTTTAAAGGCCCGGTCTAATCATGTGCCTGCGCTCCTCCTACTTATTCTAAAATGTTAGCGTGATTGACAAAGACGATACTATATCGCGTTTCTTTGATTGATTCGTTTTTGTGCGTCAGTCCATTGGTGTGTTTGCAGTGCGACCAATGGGGCATTCCATTTTATATTTATAACCAAATACTTTGAATAAGAAGACTAAGGAAGGAGCATATCAAAAATCTTAGGTACACCGCGATGGGCCTCAAATATGGCCGACTTAAATTCCGGTTTATCAGTGCCGTTCTAATTTTATTTAAAAAAATGTAAAACTATGATGTAGGGTAGACGTGGGGTAGACTCAATAATTTGTTGTTTTATTTTACGTTGTGAATAAATGTTGGTAGTTATTAAAATTGTTATAAAAATATATAATTCTAATAAAAATAGATAAATTATAATAAGTATTTATTAACACAAACATCCGATACGCTACTGAAGCAGGTAAGTCAAATTAACGTATCTAAATTCTTTGACATCTAATCTTTGACAAGTAATAAATAAAAGCAAAAATGCAAGAAAAAATATATAATTTAGTTAATTTAAGTGAATTTCATAAATGATCGGTTTACTACACGTATGTATATTATATAGTCACTTACTAGCGAAAAGTTATTCCATTATTTCACTCAATTTTTTGCCGAGATCTACCGCACGCTACACAACCAACTATTTTAGAGTCTTTTTCGATAAATCGCGATAGTGTCACTGTTAATTTAAGTTCTGCCACAATTTCCATCTAGATTTACTACCTTTATACAACTATCAGTAGTAGAATAAATAATAAATAACATAAAATAAGCTCCGTAAAGACTGACAAATCCACAAAATTTCAAATCAAATTCAAATGTGTCAAATGAATCGTCAAACAGAACAGTCAAGGATCCCCACCCTAGGGAGCTTTTTCCGCCCACCATGCATGAATACATGGATAGCATTATGCTCCTTCCTTAGTCTTCTTATTCAAAGACCAAATATATGTTTTGACAAGACTTTGACAGTTAAAACAACAAATTACAACAGATTATATATTGATTATTATAATGACTTGCAACACCACGGCACTGGAATTAAGTTTTATCTGACCTTGGACAGATTAGTTCACATGATAGCGACCGATGATAAATCACTCCCAAACATTCGTGGCGTTTACTATAGTAACATATCCATTCGTTCCGCCATCACTTCCTGATTCATTTTTCATGATAAAATAATGACTACCTACTTATTAAATAATAATGAATACTTACATTAAACTATTGTTGGTAAATTAAAGTGAACTTCTGTAAATTTAAATAATAAAGTCCATAAACTAATGTCGATTTTGAAAATAGTTCCTAATTGCCCCTAGAAAATTGCCATGGCGACACCAGTCATCTTGATTGCCATTTTATTGAAAAATCAATGAATATAGTTGAGCATTTGAATCGGCTTCGATATAGGTTGTTGCATTTTAAACAACGAAGTTTTTATGCAAAATACATTTTTAAAATGGATCAGCAATTTTTGGTACCCCTGTATAAATTTAAGGAAGCAACAAATTTTTTCAGTAAAGTTTATTTCTCTACCTTTAAACTCAACACAAGAATTAATTCTGAAAAGTAATCTACAGGGCGTTGATAATCTATTCTATTGTAGAATGCATATTTAAATATTTCTTAATATCTTAAAAACTAAAGATTTTATACATATTTAACTCTTATAATAAATGACATTTTTTAGGTCCAAGAATCCAAAAATGAAATAAAGTACCGGGTATTCCATAAGAAAAAATATACTTTGGTATGGATCTTAGTTCTAAAACACCTAGTATATTTCAAAATAATTTTAAATTGTGCACATTGCATCCCCACGTATACCCATAAAATATTTTGTTTCTACATCTTTCCTTTTTCGTATATTCAACCGAGACGGATGACGTGCACCACCCTGTATATTATTATATCATATCTCGCAACTTTATTTTTTATGATTATCAACTATCAGCTATTTGATTAAATTGTTTCGTCTTAGTTATATTGTAGTATTTTTAGGAATAGAAAAGTCATGACCAATCCAGTGATTATTATTTGCTTTCCAATATATTATTTTATATGATAAAATACTTTGTTAATTAAGTTATATTTAAATTAAAATAACTGAATTATTTGATTGCGTTTGCAGGTTATCTCAAGATCTATTCCTGCAACTAAATAACAACGGATTTATGTTTACCCAGTCGGTGGAACAGTTGCACTGCGAAAGCTGCGATCGCTATCTCGCCGATAGATTTGTTGAAGGCGGTTGCCCAAACATCGGTTGCAACTATGAAGATGCTCGGGGCGATCAGTGCGACGGTTGCGGCAAACTAGTCAACGCCATCGAGCTGAAAAATCCCCGATGTAAAGTTTGTGGGAAAACTCCAGTATTGAAGACGTCTAGTCAGTTTTTTATTGACTTGCCTAAGGTAGGTTTTATGTTTTCATGCTAGGGAATAATTCTCACGCAAGATTTACACATTTTGATATTTGAAATAGTGTACGATAAGTCTTGAAATATCTAATATTATCTATAAAATTTTGGTGTCGTATTTTTAGTTACCATTCCATTATACATATACTATTTCAAACGGCTCGACCGATATTTATGAAATTTTATATTACCCCTAAATGATAAGGGTGGTTGACTCTTTTTTTTATTTTTTGGACATTTTTTTTTTATTTTTCTTTATGATGTGGCATTAAAAAAATAAATATAACCCTAAATTTCCACCCTTCTACCATCAACCCCTATTTTTTAATAGCGATTTTAGTAATTCAATAACACAATAATATTTATATGGTAAAATATGATGGCAATAAATTACTGTTCAATATTTATATGGTAAAACAACGTTTACCGGTAGTATTATATTATATTTTAGTCTGTCCCACTATAAAATCCCTGACAGTGATAGTTGCGTCTGTCATTTTAATTTCAAAGTTCATTTTAAAAAATGTTTATTCCTGTGTGGCGAATTCATCTCTCCAAAAAAGTCCTATGGGTATTTCGCCGCTGTAAGAAAATTCACAAAATAAAATAGTTATAAATTATATAAAATAAATGAATTGTTATGGACGTCATCTGTCTTTTTTCTGTCTTCTGTCGAAATCTTCCCTGAGTCGTAAAAGAGATTATATTTATATTCTGCTTCTTCACTTTTTCCAATTACTTCTTTAATGTTTACCATTTTGCCTTTGTTTATTTAAGAGTCTATTTCGCTGTACAGTACAGTTCGGGTCGCTCTCAGCGGTCGGGTAAAGCGCGTGTGTGGCCGAAGGAAATATATATAATATTTCAGAAATCTCCCTAAGTCTTAGCCCGATCCCGTCATGTTAAGCCACACCCAAAATTCCAAACACACATGCTTTGATTAAGGTTTGCAGAGCTTCAGCATTTGCCATAAAATAGCGAGCAATTTGTTACAAAACCATATAAATTATATATCACTGTAATCATAAAACTTCAATCTATTTCCTTATTGTAACGAAATTTTAAATTATGTGTTTATTCTCGAGAAAATTTAATCTTGTTGTCTTATGTTTTACCATCAAAATCTTAAAAATAAAGAAGTTGTCTAAAAATGTGCTACAATACGGATATGGTATAATCCTTTATCTTTAAGGTCGTTGTTCATTTGTGTAAAAATTCCTAGCCAGTTTTACATAAAACGTTAAATACCGAACGCTTATTTTGCTACTATTTTGGACTAGTGATAGTGAAATGGACTCTTAACCATTTAGCCTTTGCGTTGTAATGTTCTTATTTGGGTTCGCAATTACATGCTCTGAAGGGAACTCGAGGACTATAAAAAAACAACTTTATTTTCGAATAAATTATACAACTGTTCTGGTCTAACTCTAAATAGTAAATATATTCGCTTAACTCTAATTAGCATATCGTGCGACATCCATAATGCATCAAATAATTGCATTCCTAATATTATATAAACAACTAATTCTAAACATATAATATAAACTGTCCTTAATTAACTTAAGAAATACTTATATCTAAACTATTATGTACAGGGTGTATTAATATTAATACACTACAGAGTGATGTCACTTATGTCTTTAAAAACGTTTCCTTTTGTTTTTTTTCCAGCTGGAACCATTATTACGTCACTGGATGAAAATTTCTAGTCCTGGCTGGTCCCACAACGCCGACGTCATTGCTAAATCTTGGCTAAAAGAAGGTTTAAAACCTCGATGTATCACCAGAGATTTAAAATGGGGTGTTCCCGTTCCCTTAGATGGATTCAGGAATAAGGTTCTAAAATTAAAAACTGGTTTTGGAGCAAAGAGAATAATAAACTTTTTTAGGTCTTCTATGTATGGTTTGATGCCCCAATTGGGTACATTTCTATAAGTAAAGCCTACACAAAGGACTTTGAACAATGGTGGAGACCCGCACCAGACGCGAAAGTCACCCTGTATCAATTTATGGCTAAAGACAACGTTCCCTTCCATGGAGTTCTTTTCCCATCTATGTTGTTAGGCGCTAATAGGGGATATGTTACTGTGTCACATATTATGGCAACAGGTATGTAGAATGATATGTTAATTTTATTAGTCAAATAGCATAAAAAATTATAGATAAAATACTTGTCTGATATATGTTTTTTAATTTTCACTTTACTGCCAATTGGTATTTTTGATTTAATGAGGTTTTGCAACAAACAAATGACATTTAACTTGAAATGGAATACCAATGTATATGTTATGTATCTTGTATTACTTTTTAGAGTACTTAAATTACGAGGATGGCAAATTTTCGAAATCTCGTGGAGTCGGAGTATTTGGCAACGACGCTCGCGATACGGGCATCCCCAGTGACGTGTGGCGTTTCTACTTGTTGTACGTTAGACCCGAGTCCCAAGATTCCAGTTTTAGTTGGAGCGATTTAGTCACCAAGAACAACTCCGAATTGTTAAATAACCTTGGCAATTTTATCAACAGGTATGTTTTTCTAAAAAAAAATTGTGAATAACCTGGATTTTGGCGTACTTGCTTATATTTGTCGATGTAAAGATGCAAATTATTATAATTAGTAGTGATGAGCCAAACCGTGATTTTCTGTTCACAGGCTTACCTGTGACAGCGACTTTGTATGATCTGTGACTCTTAACTGTGACTGCGACTTTATGATTATGAATCCGAAAGCACAATCACGGCTAAAATATAAGATACGATACGAATGATACGATTCTGTTGTTGTTGTTATACTAATTTTTATTTGTCCTTTATCCAAGGCCGCTGAAATAGAAAACACTAAACAGTGGGTAAAAGGTATATTAAAAAATAAAAATAAAACAATTTTTTTATTAAAAGAAACCAACGGGAAAAGAATAAAATATGCAATATGCTCATAACCATAACGAACGAAACTTAACAACACGAGATAAGTAAAGTAATACATTAAACAACAAATATTTTCCTTTGTATTCAAATAAACGAAATATATAAAAAATGTTATTAATGTAAGTTTCTAAAAAAATAAACAGTATAAAGGTAAAACTTTATGTTTGGCTTTAAAAAAACCTGCTAAACTAAAAAGGAACCAAACCGATTCGTAGTGATAAAAAATAGTAATAAAATATAAAATACATAAAAAATTAAATCACTTCTAACAGTCACTGTCTTTAGATCACTTTGTCAGATATCTATCCTATGAGACGTACGTCGTGACTCGTGACTGTGAACTGAGTCACGACCGGCGCCATCGGCAGCTGCGTTCGCGACGCGCGACGTCCCACTCTGTGAAGTATTTTCTCGTTACCAGAGAAATCACAATTAACTGTAATCGTCACGCTTTAGCAAGTCACCGTTTATTTTCAAATCAGTCACAGGCCGTTACTGTGATTATAGAATATCAGTGACAAAGTCACAGTCACCGATATTTCATTCATCACTAATAATTAGTTGAGGATTTTGACTTTTTCGATCACTGAAACTGATTTCTCACTTATAATAGTCTGTAGATAATAGTCTAGACATATAGTCTGTTGCATCGCCGATCTTTTTTTTATAAAATCTTAATTTTATAAAATTTTGTAATTTCCAGACTTGATATAATTTTATTTTATGCATCTATAGATGCTAACTTGAAAACTAATATCAAATTTAATTAAGTATCACAGTTTCCGGAGAATTGCATTGTTAAATAAAACCGAACACATCGAAATTTTGTATGGATGTAACACACAGTATGCAATAGTTTTTGTCTTTTCTTCTATATAGTCAATTTATGAAACTTTTTTAATTATATAATTACAGAGCTCTCGTTTTCGCTAAAAACAACTTTAATAAAACGATCCCAAAGATGGAATTGGATCAAGAAGACTACAATTTACTAGCTCTTTGTACGCGCGAATTAAAAGGCTATGTCGCTTCCTTGGAAAAGGCTAAATTAAGAGATGGCATCCGACATATTCTAGCCATATCCAAATTAGGCAACCAGTACATGCAGTCGAATCAACCGTGGGTGAAATTGAAGGGAGATGATAAAGAAAAGTAATGATTCAAGGTTTTCTTGAGTTACTTTTTAAAATAACAGTTTTTTCTTGTTATTTTTTTTAGGTTGAGAGCAGGAACTGTTATAGGAATGAGCTGTAATATTGCTTGCTTATTGACGACACTCTTGGAACCGTACATGCCCGATACTAGTGCCAATTTGAAGGCTCAGTTGAAATGTGACAATGTTGTGCTAGATCCAGAGTATGTATATGTTTGATTTATATGTTTTGGCGCCAAAAAATTTAATTCCCTGAAGTGCCTGGCCAGTTCACGTATTGCCTTCAAACAGCCTAATTCTTCAAGAGGTTCATTGTGTGACTGCGGGTCTCAGTCGTTCCCTGTAGTAGTGGCGGAATATTTCAGTGAACACCATAATTAACTATAATATGCAAGTTATATAGTTTTTCTGAGTGGCTAAAGTATTTTTTCCGCAAAAATTGAAATAAAGCACTGTATCTTAAGCTTAAGCCATGTTAAAGGTGACAGTCGCGACGTTAGTGCCCGGCCGTAGCTTTAGCAGTTGTGTATCGACTGCCGTGTGAACGGTACTGGGTTCAATCCCAACCATTGGGGTAGCTGTATTTATTTGAATAAAAATATTTACCTAATGAGAGAGAGCAGCTAGCTGCCACCTCAAGGAAGGCAATGGCAAACCACCTTGAGTATTTGTATTGTACAGCCTCTCAAATAGTGGCGTTCGGATTCGGTGATAAACTGTAGGTCTCCTGTATTAGTGAAACACTGATGACACACATCACAAGTACATGCCACACAAGGTAGCCGACGCTCTATATAGAGTATAGCACTGTAAGAAGAAGAAATATGTAAGATGTTTGATGTTATATATGACACTTTGAGGTTAGGTATGAATTTACTTACCTTCCCCAAGGCTTTTTCTTATTTTTCTTTAAATAATATACATCTAGTTTCTTGTAAAATAAGTCTAAATTTTGTGTCATGTCTATTTCTACAAAAGCTACACTGAATAGATGGAAACAATAAATACATTCATTGACCAAATCCGGCAAAGTAACTGAAATGGTTCGACTAATCCCAGTGCTTCAGTGAAATAATTCGGTCATTACGCGGAATATCTGAGATGTGCAATTAAACGATGTACCCAATTGAAGAACTAGGCTGTTTGTCGGTAATCCACGAAACTACTAGGCATTTCAGGGAATGACTTATTTTACTATATGACGCTGACATATATACCAGCAAAATCGTTTAATTCAAAGAAAACGATATCGCAGTAGACATAGAAATAACATTTCACCTTGATCTTTGTGCTGTATCTATTGCTGCTGTTCTAATACTGAGAGTGACGGCTGATTTTGACTTGTAATGTTAAAAAACCATAGGGTAATTAAATATATACAGTTTTGAAGTGTACTGTTAAATCATTTTCATTAGATCGTAATAATATGGTTATGCAAAGATTCTTGATTGATAAAAACTGAGCTAACTTGCTAATTTTTCTTTCCAGAAACGTCGAAATAATAAACTTGCTTCCTGCCGGTCATCAAATAGGCGAGCCTTCACCACTGTTCGCTAAAATTGAGCCCTCGCGAGTTGACGAATTGAAAAGAAGATTTGCCGGCACACAAGTCGAGAGGAACGGTATTGCAAAGACCGCTGTGAGTGCCGATGTAGCGACTTTGGAAGCCCAAGTTGCTAAACAGGTAATGTAACATGAAATAACTGAAATGTTTATACAGGGTAGTCCAAACTGTATTCCGGAAACTGCGGTAGCATATTCTACAGATAAAAATAAGTAAAAAGTTCGTATAAATGTATGTCCTAAAATTCTGAGTTTCGAAGATACAGGGTGTAGAAGTTTCATTTTTATTTCGTTTTTTCCAAATAATTTCTGAAGTAACATCAATATTTGGATGAAAATTGGTGTCTGGTAGTCTTTTGACATGAGAAATTTGATTTTGATGTCAATATGACTGCTATTTGTAGAGGGCGCCACCTACATGTGTTTTAACTGTTTTGAAGAGAAGAACTTTTCGTTCGTACTTGTATAAAACTACTGAATGAAAAAATATACATTTCCTTGATTTTTTCTTCTTTCATTCTTGGTAAAAATCGTTACGAACAACCGTCTTCAAGATATTTACAATGGAAATAGTACATGTCAATATTGACAATGTTAAACATGTCGACTGACGTGATAAATTTGGGAACTTTTTATTTTTTTTAAAATTAATCATAAATTTTTCTTTAAAAAACTAACTATTTAGTTAATTTATAGAAAATAGAAACTTCCATCCCTTGTATCTCCGAAATTAAGCATTTTAGGACATATGTTTATACGAACTTTTTTACTTATTTTTATCTGCAGAATATGCTGCCGAAATTTCCGGAATACAGTTCGGACCACCCTGTATAAAAGCTGAACCACTAAATTGCTGACTTGGAGTGCAGTGCAAATTAAAGCAGAGTGGGCAAAAATTGGCAAAGTAATAAAATAAAAATAGCATAATTAATTAATATAATTATTTTTTTACCTTAAATTTGGGAAAATCTTAGATTTTGCATCACTGCGCAGTACACCGGTCGACACCGACGAAATTAAATAGCATTATCCTATTCTATCTCTTTCTTACACATTGGTCTTCCAGTCATTGCGGTCTGCAGAGTACGTGGAAGATTGGCAAATGCGCAGCTTTTAATTTTTCATTGGAGACAATATAAAGTTTATTGTTATCAATCCGCCTTCGTCTAAATTATATGAAACCTCTTTATGGCAAACAAAATATGGCAATTGCGCGATAACTCAGCAGTCAAAAATTATTTAAATATATCTTACGTCATTGCTAGAATAAAAATAAGATAAAAAATGAATATAAGATTAGTAATGATTTATGTAATGATATAAAACGAAGATTTCATGATTTTGCCTTTTTGCCTACATTATATGCGCGCCCCTGCTAAATTGGGTCTACCTACATTTTTAAGTGGTAACGTTAAGGTGCGTACAAGCTGAATATGGTTTTAAACGTTTTTAAACATTAGTGTGATAGAGATGTACGTCAAATGCACGCAAACAAAAATACGCGCAAATGTTTGTAAAAGTTGGTCAGGCTTCCACTAATTGTCGGTGCCTTAGAGGGTTTTTGTTTGAACATGCCGACTGTTTTAGGTGGAGACGCATTTGCTAACTTTTATGAAATGACAATTCGTTTAGTTTTCCTTTCTAATGTTTAGATATTTGTATTAATTAATGAGAATGAACTTTGTTTGCATTACCCCAATGATCCTGAACACGGTTTATATCACAGTAAAAACACTTTCTCAAAAACATTCTTTTCATAATCTGTAGCTATTTATTTTTATATTTAGCAAAGGTTTAGAGCTCTTGTTTTAAAAAATAGACACTATGTTTATTTTTCCTATTTTTTCTTTTCTACTAACTTATACAACACAAAATATAAATCACAGACAGACAGCAACTTTGCCCATCGTCGTAAAATGCGCCCAAGAATTATAAAACAAAGGTAGGGCAGTTATAAAATCTCATAATATTCTACATTGTATTGGTGTACCCACCAACAATTTGCATGTCTGTCTATCAACTGATTCTGATATACATTTTCTACTTAAATATATGTCCTACTCATTAAAATACGGACCACAGGTTTAGAGTTGTTTTACAATAATATAAAAATATTTTTTTACAGGCTGATAAAGTGAGAGCTTTGAAATCCAGCGCAGCGGACAAGACCATTTGGCAACCGGAAGTAAAAATCTTGTTGGATTTGAAGGCCAAATTGGAAGCTGTCAAGAAAGCTGCGACACCTGCGCCTCCAGCAGATAAGCCTCTGGTAAATGGAGTTGCTGGTAATGGTGAAGAAATCAAAGCCTTAGAAGCAGCAGTAACTGAACAGGTTGGTTTAATGTTTTAACCATTTAATAATATTATAGATACCTTCCAAAATTTTAAGTTGAACATATTTATGTAGTCTTAACATTGAGTAATATTTACAGAATGTCTTAAGTTTTAATTTTCACAATCAAAAATTTTTATCATTAGATGGCATAAATTAGGATTGATTGACGTATTGTTTTCAGCCACTTCCTGTTTCCGCTCTTCTCAGTTATCAAAAATGTCGAAGCTCCAGGTATTGATAATATCAATAACCTACGCATCTAGCACCTCCCTTCAAGCATTGTCATTTTACTAACCCCTATTATTGTAAATGACTTAAGGAATAAGACTTCTTCGTCTGGCACAGTCTTTAATTCACCTGAAGATTTAAACACTTACTTTGTTAATGTGGCTAAAAATTTAGTGAACACCATAACTCCTTCTCATGATTCACTTTCATATCTCCCTAAAGCAAATGAGAATTTACACAGTTTCTTCTTCACGCCCGTAGTATTAGATGAGCTCCGTAGTACAATTAAAAGTATTAAAAATAAATTCTCATCTGGGACTGATGGGCTTACTCTCAAAATGTTCTCTGAACTTCCGGAATGCACATTAATCTATCTTACTACTTTAATTAATGAGTCATTCCAAAAAGGAGTTTTTCCAAACTGCCTTAAGACAGCAATAATTATTCCTCTGCATAAAGGAGGAGATAAAGATCAAGCTTCGAACTATCGCCCAATTGCTCTCCTGTCCACATTATCTAAGATCATTGAAAGATTGGTTAAAAAAAGGCTTCTATCTTTTCTCCTTAAATATAAAGTACTTTCTACCTATCAATTTGGATTTCTAAGTAACAGTTGCACAAATGATGCTATGTTCGACCTTTTTAATAATGTATACTCTAGCCTGAATAACCATCACTCTACAGCTACAATTTTCTGTGATTTCTCTAAGGCTTTCGACTGAAACCGGAAATGGCTACAACTTTTAAAAAATGGCACCCTCGGTATTTTTTTACTCCTAGACATGTAAACACCGACTCAAGACTTCGCTTACCGTTAGGGTATAACCCGATCCATAGTTAACTTCAGAAAAATTAGAAATTTTTGAAGTGAAACTTTTTTACGCGCGTTGGGAGTAAAAAAATAGAAAAGGGATAGCGGCAGTGTTGCCACAGCTACCCCATTCGGGGTAGATCTACCCCTTTGTAAAACAATTTAACCCCGCTATCTCGTGATAATCTACCCCGATGAAAAATAAGCTTGTGGCAAGACTGGGTAACTATCTGTGCCATACGCGGCTAAGAAAATCGCTAATAATAAATTTGATACTGTACTACCCTTGATGTGTACCAATGGTCTGGTTGTGTGCTAGGAAGTAAATTTTCATGCATATTTTTTAGGTTTGTAGCTTCGGAATAACGGTCTAGGTAAAGCATCTAGCTCATTTGTCAGCTCAGAATTAGAATTTTGAGTTAGTAACTCGCATTTTCATTGGAGGACACTGTCATATTTATTTCAAACCAATAATCAACGAGAATATTCGTATAATTTAATATAATTACTGTAAATCACTATAAATAATGAATGGTTTGTAATTGAACTGTAATTTCTGTATTATTAATCCGGTAAACGATGGAGATAAAAATTGTGATTGATTAAAATTTTATTTTAAGATGAAACTTGTTAACAACATTCTGAGAATTCGAATAATGAATTGAATAATGACAAGACAAGTAACATCTGCCTAAAATAGACAGAGATTTAGAGTGACAATTTGGTTATGTACAATTTAGAGTGACAATTTTGATTATGCAAAAGAAGTACATATTCTATGAGTTTACTGGTTGCCTAACGATTCACATTACTTTAAAAATAAATCCCCAACATGAATAATGAACAAAACATTTAAACAAAAACACCACAGACTACACAAAACAAATTGGTTAGTAGCAGCTAGTATGGTGGAAAGCGGTACTTAAGAGACTAATAGAAAAAGTCTCACTAAAGTACAGCGATTAGCAGCTCTAGGTACAACTGGAGCAAGGAACAACACATCGCAAGCTGCGCTAGAAGCAATTCTGGACTTGCAATCAATCGACTGGCTCGTGAAGGATCTGGCCGCTAGGGGTGCCCTAAGATTAAGGGAATTAAATATGTGGAACCAGACTAACTACGGTCACTCGAGGATATTGCCAGTGATAGGGAAAATCATGGTGAACACACACATCTGCTAGACCACAGCTGCTAGACCAGAAAACGGACTATATACTCACCAAACATGATTTTGGAGAAAAGATAAGGATTCGCATCCCGACAAGAGAAGAATGGGAAAGCAACCGAGTAATGAACATTCAAGAGATAGCAGTCTATACAGATGCTTCCGCAACTTCAGGAGGCACATGTATAGGCATCTTCTCAGAGGAACTAGACATCCGACGATCTTTAAGTCTATCGGATGGCTGTAATGTTCTACAAGCAGAGGTTTACGCCATAAAAGAAGCGGCTAGTTGTATACGAGAGAAAATTGCTGATAGACCAATAGGGGATATAGTGATATACTCTGACAGCTTGGCCGCTTTAAGAAGCATCACCATGCAATCAGTGACATCGAAAACTGTGATGGAATGCCGAGAAGCACTGTCCTGGCTGCGTCAGGGCGGGGCTACTCTGTGCTGGGTGCCAAGCCACAGCAATGTGGTGGGCAATCAGGAAGCAGACAGACTCGCCAAAGACGGGCCAGGGGAGAGGCCGCGGCAGATGACCCACCACTTGTGACGATCAACACACTGAAGGAAGCTATAGGAACTGCCATCAAGGCCAAGCAGCAAGAGACGTGGCAACACCTTGAGGACTGCGCTACAGCTCGAAGACTATGGCCAGTGGTAGATAGCAAAAAGACAAAACAACTACTAGAGCACAAAAAGGACCTAGTACGCATAATTGTAGGTGTCGTTACTGGAAACTGTCCCACGGGGGTAAACATCGTGAGATCGAAAGTTTCCAACGACGACTACTGCAGAGAATGCGGAGAGGAAGAAGAAACCATAGAGCACCTGCTGTGCACCTGACAGTGATCCGGCACTGGAATACCGACGCTTTAAAACTTCAGGGCAAGGTTTTTTGGAGGGACTAGAGGAAGCAGCAGAAGCCAACATCAGCGACATCGGGAACTTTGCAAAGAGCTGGAAGTGCTTTAACGCAAAGAAAGAATGAGAGGAAGGTTTGGTAAAACAAAACAGGGGTATCGCAATGGGCCCAAGGTCTCTGAGTGAGGGATCAAACATGATCCCAAACCCCAGCAACCTAACCTAACCTAACCTAGCAGTTAGTAGTAGTTGTGGTAGTAGTCAGAGATATAGATGTATTTTGGTTTAATGGCCACAACTGCCAGGGCTATCCAGCTAAAAAAACATTATAAAATTATAAAGCCAGAATAATGATTTTATATATACGGTTTTATATTAACTCTAGTTTTTTCAAGTTTATAAAAAGCATTTATAAAAAAATATATATCCTTTAAATCCTTCATTTTAATAGCTGTAGTAAAAAGTTTTTTATCTGCACCTTTTTTTTTTTTTTTTGATTTGATGATTTGAGGGGGTGGTAAAAAACCTTTTATAGGCGAGTGGTGTTCGTTCCCATCACCATCTCGAGAGAGACGATCATAGAGACTAACTCCAAACAGTGTGGGAGCCGCATGGCATTACTTCGGGTTCGTACGTGATCTTGGGGTTTATATCTTATCTATGTTATTTTTTATCTATATTCTATTCTATATATTTTTAGGATACTTCCACATTTCTTGCCTTTTCATCTTTTCCTTTCTCTATTATTATTTCTTTCATAAATGCCCCTACCTTTCCCCATATTTCGCTAGTTTTGGTCATTTTCATAACGGTGTCCGAAGTTAACATTCCTACATCCGACAATACGGCAGATCTTCCGTTTTCCCATCTCGGACAACAGAACAACGTGTGTTCGGCATCGTCGATTTCGTCGCAGTACATGCAGTTGCCATTTGGTATTTTCTTTATTCTGTGCAAGAAGTCCATGAAGACTCCATGCCCGGAAAGAAACTGCGTAATGTAATAGTCCACGTCTCCGTGTTTCCTACTTGTCCAGTCCTCCACGTTGTGTATTAACTTTCTAGTCCATTCGCACCTAGTGCATATTTTTATTTTTTTTTAATGAAAAAGATTTATTGGGTGATGACCGTCATCTAGATTTCTTTGTTATGATCTGTCGAAATCTTCCTTCAGTCGTTTTAGGACTATATGTATACACTAGTAAGTGAAAAAATGTGAGAGTGACAGTTATCTGTCATTTGAATTGACAATTAGATTGTTTTTTATTATTTTTTTTTAATTTTGTATATTGAATCAACATCTTATCTGACTGGACAGACATACAAATTTTATTCTTAACGTTGATATTCATTTCCTTGTTGCAGGGTTTGGTAGTGAGAAAACTAAAGGAGGGTGGTGCTGACAAATCCGTTTGGCAGCCCGAGGTCCAAAAGCTGTTGTCGCTCAAAAATCAACTAGCCAGCGCCACCGGATCTCCAGTTCAACCGGCGAAGGGCAAGAAAAGTAAAAAGTAAGGTTAGAGAATCACTAAATATATCTCTAAAGGTTGTCTTACTTTCTAGTAGTTTAAATATACCTTTTCGACGTAAAATTGCGTAACTTATTTTTATAATTTATGCTGTACAATTTTTTAAATTGCCACTTAATCGGGTGGTTTATTTTGAGAATTACAGAATAGTATTATTTATTTTAATCGTTTTTGGGATCAATTTTATTTGTATAAAAGGTATCATGAGTAAATAAGTATTTATTTAATTTATTTTATTCTAGTTTAATGAGTTTCTTTCATTTTATATCGGCTTATACAATAATAATTTGTTATTATTATAAAAAAAATTAAAAATGCATTGTATACAATGATTTTTTTTGCAATAAAGTATTCATATTAACTAATTATAAATTTTTGTTCGTTCCTAACAACTACGTCCTTATAATTATTTAGTTCTTACAAAATCTAAAATTATTTAAATATTGAATAATAGTTGATGTAAAAAACAATTGTTTGAAGAAATTAATCTGAATGATAAGTGATATCTTACTTACCGCCGATTTTTTTGGACACTAGCCATAAACGGAAGTCAAGGAATATTGCGACAGATGACATTCAAAAAATGACAGAAAATATTTATACAGGGTGGCGCCTCTAATACGCGGAGGCTCTAACGAGAAGGACAGTTTATATCGAAATGAAATTTTGTGAGCATATGTAGATTAATTCAGAGCACTTTTTAAAAATATAGAGAGTTCTACAGGGTGTCCCCAAAAAAAGTTACATATCAAAGTTGTGTTTTTTTGTAATGGAACACCCTATATATTACTTGATTTTCGGATTCTGGGAGAAAAATAAAGGTGAGTTTTATAAGAGAAGTATATGACTAAAATGTAAGGTTTTTAACATATTTAACATTTTCTAGAAATAAAGAACAAATTTTAAATTAAAATAATAATAAATAATATTATTAATTATTTTATTTTTATTCTACCTAAATTGGAACTTACCCGGTATAGCCTAATATGTAGTTAAATTAACTATTCTTTAAATCAAATTAAAACTTGATCCAAAAAGTTAAACAGGGTGAGACAAAATTAATATTGAATATTGGTCACATTTTTAAAAGCATGTTACTCTCTTATTTTAAATGGAACACCCAGTATATTATTCCGATATTCAATGGAGAATTCATGTCTCTTCAAAATACTATTAAGGTTACCTACCCCTCAAACAAAGATTTTCCGAGATATTTTCATTTACATGATTTGATCTGAGTAGATCTTTATTATTTATCTTTACTATTATTAGTCCAACTTTAACAACTAGTTATAATTTTGTGTCAGTTAAAACAAAATAAATTCTTAGAAATTTGCCGAAAATGCAAACTTATCCTACATCAGAGAGTATTGATATGATTCTATTAGTTGGTGAATGCAGTGTGCATTAATTAATAGAATACGATTTTTTATGGGGATATGTTAAAGACAGTGTTGACAAAGCTTGATCAGCTAGTGTCGACAATATGGGAAAAATTATTGTGTCGAGATAGAACTCCACATATGCCTTTTAAAATGAAAATATCCTTTTGAAAAGACATTCATTTTATGCAGTTAACAGGAAAGGCAGAATTTTGAGCATTTTATTTCATCTAGCTAATTTTTGTCGCGTAATTATAGGTTTATATATTAATTCTGTAATAATTAAAATATGTTTTAAACGTGTATCTTTTTATTACCCTTGAGTATTTTACTCTACAATCTTTAATTTTTGTTGAATTAACAAAAGGTTAAAGATTTTAAGACACAGCCACCTAGATTTTTTCAAATATAATAAAGATTTACTGACGCAAAATCATAAAAATTAAATTATCTGAGAATATATTTGTCTGAGGGGTAGGCAACCTTAATAATATTTTGAAGATATATAAATTCCCCATTGAATACCGGAAAAATATACTGGGTGTTCCATTTAAAATAAAGGAGTAACTTGCTTTTAAAAGTGACTTTTGTTCCATATTAATTTTGTCTCACCCTGTATAACTTTTCAGGTCAAATTTCAATTTGGTTTTACCATACAATGGATATTGTAATTAAATATCAGGCTATACAAGGTCAACTAAAATTTAGGTAGCTGTTATCGAAATTTAAAATTGACTCTTCATTTTCACAAAATGTGAAATATGTCAAAATCCTTAGATTTTAGGTATATGCTTCTTTAATACAACTCACCTTTATTTTTTTTTCTAGAATCCGAAAATCAATTAATATATAGGGTTTTCCATTAGAAAAAACACAACTTTGATGTGTAACTTTTTGGGGGACACCCTGTATAATTCTATATATTTTTATAAAATGCTTTCAGTTAACCTACATATGCTGTCAAAATTTCATTTCGATATAAACTACCGTTCTCCTTGGAGCTTCCGCGGCGTATGAGAGGCGCTACCCTGTATATTTCCTTTATTTTTAACACCAAATAAATTTAAAAGATCAGTAATGGAGATCTCCCTTTAAAATAGTGGACATTATAGTTTGTTAAAGTAATTTTTATGGTATTTTTTAATTATTTTGGTTATTAACGTGACATAACTGTGATACAACACCGCCTTGAAACACCACCTAGCGATAAAAAAAAGTGGTAAGTCAATGAGGAAGTTGAGATGGGTCTTTGGAGCGTTCTAACTCGGGCCCTATGTGAGCTAGGGGGCTCAAACTCGGAATGTAGATGTAGAATGTAGAATGTTTAGGAGGGGAGTTAATCACCGCGACCTTATAGATCTATTGTGTGTTCCCCTTTCTTGAGTTATAACGAGTTATAACTCATCATAGAGTCTCAGGGCTTTAAGAAAAGCCAGTATCTGAGACGGCTCCACAGAGGCCAGCTCTCCATCCTCGACATCAGACGTACCAAGGTTCATGGCACGAATGGTCGTCGTCTCGGCGCACTCAGTGATAAGGTGTTCTGGTGTTTCCCCATTTTCCCCACAAGATCTGCATTCGCCGTTGTTTCTCAGTTTCAGCCTACTGAGGTGTTCGTTGAGGAGACAGTGTCCTGTTAGAAACCCCGTGACAATCCGAAGATTGTTTTTACTTAAATCAAGGAAAACCTTCGATTTTTCTCGGTCATAAGTTCTAAGGACCTTTTTCGAGTGTCTTAGACCGTTGGAGGACACCCATTCCAAGTTACGGATGGAGTCTTCCAGATTCTTCAGTTCCGCTTTCAGTTGGTTCCCGTTTGGAAAACAGAACGGTTCTGGTCCAGTTCGCTCCTTTTCTAGCTAGATCATTTGCTTTTTCATTGCCTTCTATCCCTTGGTGAGCAGGAGGACTTTATTTTCTTTGTCTAATTTGTTGAGCTTCTCTAGGCATTCTTTGACCAACTTCGAATTGATGGTTACTGAGTTGATCGCGTTAAGTGCTGCTTGACTATCGGATAGGATGGCAATTTCCTGCTTTCGATAGTTCCTATCTAAGATAAATTGTACGCATCTTTCGATAGCGCAAATTTCTGCCTGAAGGATACTGGGGTAGGTGCCCATTGGTTCGGCAACCAGCGAATTATCGTACTGTTCACCCCTCTTGTTTCAAGAGATCGCTTGACCACCTTGTGAGGTATATTGTCAAACGCCCCTGCAATGTCCCGGAATGTAGATACTTTTATGATATTTTGACGATGTTTCGTGCATCATCAATGAATCAAATCAAAAAGTCGTCCGATTTAAATGAAATTTGGTATGTCGATAGACTGGACCAAGGCCAACTTGATGGTGTACGACACGCGTCATTGTGACAGTTAGTTTTAACGTAAGAAACGCCAAAAGTTGATGTCGCCCAGGGCGGGAAAGTGAAATAGCAAAAGCGGTTCCACCATTTCTACGGAAATTTCATATAAAATAGTTCCAGTCCAAGCGCTAGGTGGTAGTGCAATTAATTTTTTGGTTAAGAAGTTTCTACTAGTTATTGCCAGATGGCGTTAAATCAGATTTTTTTTGTAGTTTCCATAGTTTCCAACGGCTATCGTCATACTATTGTCAAATCGAGAAACAATGATTCAGTGAAGTCATGGTAGGCTATGGAAAGAAGTTACTTTTGACGTAATAGTAAAAACGTCAAATTGTTATTAGATCAACATTTTGATAGTCTTACCAGCGTTTTTATCTTCTAATTGCTTTTTCAAAATGCCTTTATTTTTGAAATAGTTGAAGTTGTTGGCATTTTGAAAAAGCAATCAAAAGATAAAAAACGCTCCTAAGACTGTCAAAATGTTGATCTAATAACAATTTGACGTTTATACTATTACGTCAAAAGCCACTTTTTTCCAAAGCCTACCATTACTTCACCGAATCATCGTTTCTTGTTCACTGTTAATAATATCTTAATTATTAGATATTAATACATCTGGTATTATGGTATTCTGGTATATCGTCGATTTTAAAATAAACTGTTTCTTTCTTATCTTTTTTTATTAGAATGGGCATAATCAAGAGGGCTACTGATACCTTGTTGTAAAAATAAGGTAATTAAGGGCTTATTTTTTGGTATCTACATATATATAAAATGCTAATGTTTATCTGTGTCGTCTCTGCTGAAGTATCGACTTGCTCTAGAAAGTTGTTTTTTACTAAAAGATAGTTAATTGGCTCTTCTAAAAACTGTCGTCGCCGGATTATTTATCATTTAATTAAAAATAATAAATTTAATATTTTTTTCATGATGTGGCGGATGCGCCAGGCTTCAACTAGTTTATTATAATTTTGCTAATATCTTCGGTTTGAAAGAAGATATCAAGATGCGGTTTTCGCGGACTTTTTAAGCTTTTACTACTCTTTACTATCAGCTAAAATTACATATACTATCATATTAAATTTTTTTGAAACAAACCGCTATGTTTGTTAAATTGTAAGAAAGCGCCCCCTAGTGTCTACGTTCAAAACCTTATTATTATTTTTATGGTATAATATAGAATAAGGAACGCTCTTTTAAACGAGCTCTCGTTTGTTGGATTCTGATCATCCAGTCCAGAGTTATTAACATTTAAATAAAGATAAACCTAACCTTCCCCCGCCACTTTATTTTAGCAGATAGGGGAAAACGGTTCTCACAAAAAAAATCATAAATTTACTGAAGATTATAAAGCTATTATTTATAGCACCCATTATCTAGGCAAAATTCTGTAAAAATTATATTTTCTTATTTTCCATA